AATATGTATGAACCTTCTGCATTTTTTTTTTCTGGTAATATTTTCTAAAATGTAACAGAATCAATAATAGAAATTTGATTAATGAAAATTTTGATTTTGATTATTTTTCAGTCTTGGCATTTCCAGTTTGACAGCTCTTGGTTTTAGTTTTTCATTTCAAATGAAAGTTTTTGTATCTTTTCTACTTCTACTAGTTTTAACCATCAGACAAACACAATTTTTCTTTTTTATCTTAGTGACAGTTACTATTTTGATGATATTTTGGGGTGCAGTGATATCTTTTAGATCAACATCATCTTAGGGAAAATCTTCAGTATTTCTCAGATTTTTTTATGGAATGGCGATTAACAACTCAGACAAAATTTTTCTGATGTATTTTAAAACTTATTACCACATCTGTGTCTATTTGGATGTAATTTAATTCTTTCCTAAGAAACTGGGATATTGGGCCTCCCCGGTGGTGCAGCAGTTGAGCACTGGGTTGCGAAGCTGCCCACAGCCTCTGCAGCGCCAGTTTGATCCCCGGCCACCAGGCAAGGGTCCCACATGGCACAACAGACGTCTCCTGCCACCCGCTGCTTCCCACAACAGACTACTTCGTCAGTCTGCCTGCTCTGCTCTGCTCTCCGCTCTGGTGAATTCTCTCACCCTCCCGCGCTTCTGACTATACCCAATGCTTGTATAAATAAATAAAATAAAAATCTAAAAAAAAAAAAAAAAGGAAACTGGGATATTTGAAAACTTGGAGGAATTTCCATCATCTATAGAGCTGGAAATTCTGCAGGATTCTTTCTGCTTAATTCATCATTATTTTTTTGAGATCAGATTCACAGCAAATCTTGAGGAATCCTACTCATTACATTTCATCACTGCAAGAGCCACTTGTTAATCTCAATGGTGTGTGCTTCTTCTGAAATAGTTTCTGGTCTTTAAAATAGTGCCATCAGGGGTCTCCCTGGTGGCACAAGGGGTTAAAATGCAGCACTATGAGGCTATCTACAGCCACTGCAGCACAAGTTCAATCCCCGGCCAGGGAGCTAACTCCATGATGCAGCAGACCTCTGCTGTCTCTCTCCTGCTCCCCTCAGCAGTATAATTCAGTAGATCTGCCTGTTCTGTTCCCCACTCTGTCTCTGGTGAATCCTCTAATCCCCTGCATTTCTGCCTGTACTCCAGTTCTTGTATGCATAAATAAATAAATCTTTAAAAAAATAAAATATTGCCATCAGACCTCCTTATCACTTTTCAACAATCTGACTCATTTAAGTAAGTTCCAGCTCAAAATGCACCTCTGGTTAAGAGCTGCACCAGGAGACCTGCCATCCCTCCTCTCTGTCCTCATTCCTCAGCACAGACACACTAGATTGCATTAAGTGCTCTGCCTCCTTATAGTTCCTGGAGCATGTAGCTTTTATCTCTGCTGAATTACAAATGCCTCTGGAAAGCATTTGTGCATCTTTTGGACACACACCCTTTCATTCCCCCATGAGCTGGATTTTCCCAAATTGTATACAGTAAGTACTCAATGAATGTATCAATGCTCACACTGAATATTCAATGCTCACACTTCCCAATGTATAAGTAAAACTGAGAGCAGTTTTTTGGTCTCACCGGTTCTTTGGGCAGTGTCTATAGCCCTCTGAGTTTCAGCCTTGACATCTGTACATCCTAAACGTCTGTACTATAGTTGAAGCCACGCTTTTGTGATGTCTCCTCCCTGTTCTCTAAAGCCATCCTGACAGGACCTTGCAAGAAATTTTATGTTCAAGAATGTGTGTGTATATTTTTCTTTCTACATGTAGAGAGCTTGCTTCTGCTTGCTCAATGTACAAATAGATCCTTTGAAGGAAAAGTGGAGCGTCACAAAATCTTCTCTGCTCTGGAAGCAAAAACAACAAAAAATAGTTCCAGTCAGCCCCCATAGGCAGATGTTGGTGAAAATTTTTGTCAAAACTGTTATTTTTAATTATGTATTTGCCTTGGCTTTGAAATTCTGTTCTGGGTATTACTGGAAGTTGCTTCAATCACCATTTTGAACTTTACCCCAGTGTGTCTTAAATGGCAAGCTTCCCTGTTCTCGTCTAGATGTTCAGCTTTTGAAAAATCTCCTTTTTTTCTGTGTTACTTTATATGCATGTATGATTTTTTTTAAAAAGCACATTGCCTGGCACTTAAAAAATACTCTACCTTTATTGAATGTACATTGATCAAAGGCACCTACCATTTAAAAATATTTACTTGTGTTTGTAATGTATCTCTCGGTAACATCTAGAGTGCATGTAGATTACTGACGTTCTTAATTTCTAACTAATGTCTTAAATTTGTCATGGAAATGTTTTTAAACTGATGATTTTCTTAGATCTCCTTTTCCCACAAAAAAGTTGAATTTAAATTATTGTGATGAGTATGACTTAATGGATCCCAAACAAATGTCTCCTAAACCAATTCCATTTACTGATTGAGATGGAGTCTGAAACATTTCCTTTCCATATGGGTTTCTGAACTGCATATTCTTAGGAATGGTCTTTTCATCTAGGAAGAGAGAGGGATCTGTCTATCTCAGCAGGAAGATGAATTTTACTAGTGTCCTTGGTTAATAATATAAGCACACTTTATTCTCTGACACATTTAACATTCATATTTTCAGTTTTGACTTTCTGTTTGGAAAGTATATAGAGTGCTTTATTTTATTGCCCTGTTACATTGAGAGTATTTAATTTTTAAACAAATTTCCAGTAATTCAATTCCTAGTCAGATTTTTACCGTTTTTGCTGGTTTTTATAGTCGTAAACTATCTTCCTGTTCTCATCTTTTCTATAAACTCTACATATTCTCATGAGACCATATCTCTAAATTGCTATAGATAGTGAGGTGCCCACTTGAGATCATTATAAAGTAATTAATTTAGTCCTTTGGTTTATTGCATAGAATCTCTTATATAAATGTGGCTTGGTATTTGATCTTTTCTTGCTAGTATGTGTCTTGTACTTATTCGTTGAACATTGATTGCATGCCCACTAGGTACAAAACATGATTACAGTCTCTGAGAGGGGGAATGCAATGTGAATGAGAAATGATCTCTGCTTGCAGGGAAGTCACAATGCTGTGAGAAAGCTGCTGGAAAAAAGCCCAGTACACCAGAAGCTATAATATAAAGCAGAATAGGTACAAAGAAGAGAAAATAAAGAGATTTCCAAAAGGTATCCTGGACAAGGGGAAAGTTAACTTTTACTTTCGACAATAATCCTAGTGGATAGAGGAAAGAGAGAAGACTGCCAAAAAGCTTGGAGCAGGAGAGTCAGGGACACAGAAAACGGGAGTCACTGGGTAGAAGGGCCTGTTACATGGAGAGGGATGAGCAGGATACAAATTTTAGAGAATTTTGAGTTAAGGTCAAGGGAGCCCTGAATTCCAAGTTAGGGCTTAGGACTTTTTGGTAGGCAGCAGAGAAAAAGAAATGATATTCAGGGGCATGTGCTTTATTAGTAATAAAAATACCAATTACTGCGTGCTAATGCATGTCAGTCATTGAGCTACTGAACTAGTCATATATTTAACCTGCGCAATAATGTTGAAAGGATAGGTGATATAATTCCTAATTTACAGATGAAGAATATGCAACACCAAGAAGGAGATGAGTCTAGCAAAGTTGCAAAACATGGATTCGGAGGAGAGGGACAGCCCCCCAAGTTACTCATAGAACATCAGTCAATGCAACAAAAGTACTTTCATCTCTTCCTCCCATCCCAATGTCCTCAAATTGACCAGAAAATTTTTTTTTAGCTGTGCACAAACTCTAAATGCAAACTGTACCACAAAGTCTAAGGAAAAGTGGAAGGCAATGGTGCGAAATGGGGGAGTACAGGTGGTGACCAAAGCCTGGGGTGTAGATCCCAGCGCTGGGGAGGGACCACAGAATAGTCCACCCAAGGACTGATTAAGGTATTTTAGTAGCCAGAGACCCACACCCATGCCATTGCCCTCCAAGACAGGCTGTGCAGCTGTCTCCAAACCCAGAGGGCTTCTGAAATGGAGGTCTGGGGATAGGTAGGGGCACCCAGGCAGCTCTCAGGGGTCAGGAAGAGCAGGTAGGAGTGTGGCAGGCAAATCCCAGAAGGACCACGAAGTACTCAATGTAAAATAACTACCCACACACCCCACTAATTAAAAATCAAGCAGCATGACTAACTTCCCTTCCATAATCAGTACGTGTAAGTAGGTAACTGTTTACAGGCACTCTCAAGTAAAAAGAGATCTATAGGCAAAAATGAACAAACACAGAGGGCAGCAAATGTTATTTAAAAAATGTACCAAAGTCAGCCAACAGAATTTTCTTCTAGTATCCATATTTCTCCTCCCTGTATCTGTCTTCTCATATTTATGATTGCTACAGCCTTCTAATTCCCAACACCACGGACTGATCACACAAGTGATAGACTCCATCCTAATTCTTGCATTGAGCTGAAACTTCATCTCTCTCCTGTCCACTGTAATTAAACGTCACCTGAATGATAACACTATGTATAATGATGTACAGACTAATACACAGTTCCACTTAACTCAGGCACTGATCAAATCCAAAGAAAACTTGGAGGGGGAGTTTTAGAACATGAAGACTCAATTAATTCCCATTTTTGAAGGCATGAAGAACAGCAAATGGTTCAGTTTAAAAAAAATGGTTAACTTTAAAAGGCTTTGGTAAGCTAGTTTATTTCAGAACATGTTACTATGTAAGCATATTTTCCCAGGGATTTTACACATATATATATACTTGTGAAGAATAAATATTCACAGTGACTAATCTTGCTTTAATTAACACCAAAGAAAATAATGATGGTTGACGCGACAAACTATTTTCAGGTTTTCTTTTTTCAGCATGGCAGCTGCCATTTAGAAGACTGTGTAAAGAGTGGGGTGCCTCACCATCCAGCACCCCCTTCCCTTCCCCAAAATGAAACTGGCTAGTTTTTAAAGAATGACAGTACTGGCTTCATACTCACATTTTGTAGCCATCAACTTTTCAAAAGACTGGGCCCACTGTAACACTTCCTCCAAAGTAAGGCTTTGAAAAGAAACAAAAGTTGCTCTTAGCCCCAAAATAGCCTCAAGGTTTTGCTGAATTAAAATAGAAATACACTCTCATGAAAGGAGTGCCCAAATATACTCCATTTGTCGGGAGGGAAGTTTATCTTCCTGTGATTATTTCAAACTCATTTTCATTTTCTAAATCATTAAAATCATAAAAATTATAAAAGTATAAACTTGATACTAGGATTAAAACGAGGTGTGAAAAGATAAAGAACCATAGTCCTCTATAATCTCCTAATTTCCAAATGACCACTATTGACATTTTGATTTATTTCTTTTTAGTCTTTGTGTTGTGTGTGTGTGTGTATGTGTATACCTTTTAATAAGCTTTTTGACGTGTTTTCCATCACAATAGTCTTAATAACCACTTAGTGTTTTAATTTATAATTATAAATGTATAAGCATTGACAGTGTGCTAATCAGCTGGCATTCCATAGGGTACACAATTATTTTCAATGAGTATTTTGATTATTTCTCATTTTTCACCATTAAAACCAAATGTAGCCTATTGTGATTAAGGATTGCTATGGCTCACTCTTGAGGGTATTAGCACAAACAGAACCAAAGTGATTCAAAAGATGCACATTTTTTAACTCCTTGTTCCTGAGAAGGTAGTGCCAGACGTGTTTGTTGCTGCCCTGTGTTTGCCCAGTTCTATCAGAATCTTAGAATCCATCCTTAAAACCTACTTGCATGCCTTTACATAATAAACTTAGTAACCCTATTGTCTACTATGTACAGCTATTTTCTCAGTTCATTATTTGCTATAGTGTTTTTTTATATGCCAAGGGCTTTAATTTTTATTACTGCAAATAATATATAAAGTTATCTTTATCTTAAACAGTATAAAAAAGTAATTTACCATTTAGAAAATATCTGTGAAAAATATTGACTTTGCAATTTCATTTCTGTTCATTTTGGTGTCTCTATAAGGTGACTTGGCAAGTGACTATGTATTTTACATATACATCATTTTATCTTCTCTCCTTCAAAATACCCAGTGTGTTCATTGCCATTCAGTTTACAAGTACATTCTTAATTTTTCTGTTTTTAATAACTGTACACAATCAAAGACAGCTATAGATATAAGCAAGCACAGTACACTGGCTATATCTGTTACAGTTAGTGCAATAATTAGTGTTGAAAGAACAGCCATCAGCATTAGCAGGTACTTAACACAGTGAAGGTAGATTAGTTAAAAAGGTTAGAAAACATGGAACATGGAAAATATCCAGCACTCTAAAAAGGTCAAATGTCTTCTGTTTTCTACAAACTCAGATGGTTCCTGCCAGTTTTAGATGGACTGCATCAATACTGAGGCTTAATAGTGTACTGCTGTTAAGATTGCTTTCAAAAAACATTTCCATGAAATGGTATCTGACTCATTGTACTTTTCTCTTATTATAACTTTAAAAGCCATAACCTAACATAACCTTTTTCAATCAGGTGAAATGGGAAGTACTAGGCAAGTGTATTGCATGCCTATCTGTTCCACCTTTTTGTTTTGCTCCTTATACCATAGAATATCTACAGTACAAGTGAAGATACCATTACCGTCCTGGCGAAGCTTACATTTTGGCCTTAGTAATCGTTGGCAATTGAGAATTCCATTGCCTTGAAGATTCATGAGCTTTAAGGACATAGCATAGATCATGATGGGAACAATTATATTTATGGGTAAAGTTGTGAAATGAAATTTTTTTTAGCTTTTGCTTGTCACTTTTTCTGAGTGGTTCACAGGGCTCAAGATGTCACAGGTGCTCTTAGCAGATTATTTGAAACACCTTTGTCTCCTAGGCCACCCAGATAGATTTCTCAGTAGAAGTTCTCTCCTTCCCTGTCCCCTCCTTTCATCCCTGGTAGACCGTGGATGCCAAACAGAAGTGGGAGCACCTGAGACTTCACTACGTAGGAGAAAGAAATGTGTTTGGACCTAGTGTTTACATTAGTCTTTATAGTCCTAACTCCAGTGCTGTGCTTAATAACTTCAGTCTTATTAACAATCTCCAAGCCCCAGTTTTACTGTCTATAAAATGGGAATAATAGTATCTGTCTCACAAAGTTATCTCAACATTAAATTAGGTCATGAATGTAAAGCACTTATGAATGACTGGTCATTTAAAACACTGAGCTTTTGCTCTTACTGACTCCTCCATTCATCACAACAGCCCCCCCCCCAATTTTTGGCCCTCCCCCATACAATTTTGACATTGTAGTACTTAAGAGCAGGGGCATGAATACCAGAGCTGGGAGGATGGCCAGGACTGAGGACTCACCAAGGATGAGGCTAGGCTCTTTGGTTAAGAACAGTGATCTCTGACCTGGGAATTCTTGGAGGTGAGTAAATCCAATCATATGGTTTGTTATCCTTTTCAGGCATTACACTTTCTATTTTCATACAGCTGCTGTTCCCATCCAAATGACTACATTTTAGTTCTAGCCAAATATAGAAGTGACTTGGGAGCTTGGTAAGCATTTGGTTACCCCTGCCGTCTCCTGTTTTCCAATTAGAGATGAAGGTTTGTGATGCTTTGTAGATGGAGGATTTGAAGCCATGAAAATATTGTGGATACGATAATTTCATTTTAGTATAAACAATACAAAACTTTAAAAAGTCCAAGAATATTTATTTGTAATAACAGACTCTCTAAAAACATTTAACTTAATTCTCAAGTGTAAGCCACGAATAGGGGAAACAGAACCTAGTGTAACACATGACTGCTCTTTCAGTGGAATTACTCATCTGTTAATGCAAATTTTACTTTCTGAACGAAATATATTAAGACCGCAATGGAATAAATATACCTATTTATCATGTGCTAAATATGCTTTATAATGGCATAGAATTTAAATGCTACTTACTTGGAAGGGGGTCTCTTAGATGCATCTCTGCATATCTTACAAATCCAACAATTCTTCCTGCTCATTTTTCTAAAGACAGACAGCATATTAGTATAATTTAGTCTTTCAGGATAAGTACATGTTGAAGTCAGTTTCTAAGGAACATGAAAATGTATAAATCATGATAAAAATGAAGATGGGTTCTTGCAGTTAATGGAATCAATCACTAGTGGGAGTGGGGAGGAGAATATAATAATGACTCACCTCATAAATATTTTATGGGAATATAGGTGCTTAGAGTGTGACTTCAGATCCACCTGGCACACCTATTCATTAAATAATGGCATTTAAGAAACTGTAGCTCTTTGAAAAATATCTTTCCATTTAGGGCTGCTGAATTCTCCGGCTCCCAAGTTTTCCTTTTTGGGTAATTCCTAATTTTAGGAAGCTTGCTCAATATATTGAATAAAAATTTGCCTCTTTGTTACAGTGGAAGTTGTCAAATAAAAAAAAAAATGAGGCTGCCTAGGTCTAAATTCTGAGAAGGGTGTTGCTCACCTGGTGTTGCCCATTGGAGCAATATAACTTTGACTACAAAATTGAAGTAGAGTTTACTCAGCCTGGACTTTACATAATAATGTGAGTCATCGAGGGTTTAAAATTGGGGATTTTGAGAAAACAACTCAAAATTTTTTTATCAATAATTGAATCTACCCTTTATAATGAGAGGTGGAAATAGTTTGCCAAACAAATATACCTACTTATATACAATGAATTATGAAGAATAAACAGTGAGTTTTTATATTAGTCTTTATTAATTAATTTGAAAAATCTGTGGAACACTTATCATCTATCAAGTTTGGCTGCCTGTGCTCACCCTAGGTTCTCTTTTCCTCCCATCCTCACAAACTCACTTAACTTCATGTGATGGGGAATGTGAGTACACACAGGAGGACCTCACCAGAAGTGGAGGTGGTTACAGTAGGCATTGCAGGAAAGTAATAGCTAAGTGAGACCCCACAGGATGTGCAGGAATATCCTGAGTGAAGGAAGGGAGGTGGCAGCTTGGACAAAGGTCAGGAAGCAATGGGTCATGTCCTAGCTGAGGAAATGAAGCGAATGTAGTCACAGCTTGAGTCTAGAATATGGCAGGGAGAGCACTCAGAGTGCAGACTGGAGAGCTAAGATTGGACCAAAGTCTTGTTCAAAGACATTCATTCAGCATGAAAGAGGCTGGAGACAAAGTTGGAAAGATGGACAGCAGATGAGCATGTGATGCCTCCTACGCTGCCAACTTTAGTTAGGAGTTGGAAAGTCATTGACACTTTTAAAATATGGAATAGAAAGTTTTAGTAAAAACAATGCAAAAAAGATAAACAACAATAAGCTTATAAATTACTTCTGCTGTAAATAATGACAAAAATTATTTCTAGGTTTAATACATAATAAACATTGGGTAGCAAAAAAATTATGGAATAGAAAAATCATGAAATAAAATATGGAGTAGATATGTTAGCATTTGAAACTGGTTTTGTAGGTCAGGTGGATTTTAACATAGCCGGGGTGGAATTAGGAAGACCAGTTAGGAGGTGGCCAGTTAGCAGGAGAAACAGAGAGGAGGGAATAGATTGTAGAAACTTTGCAAAAGGAACTATCAGAACTTGGTGATGTGTTGGATATGGAAGGTAGGAGAAGGAAAGGAAAACAATTCAGGTGAGAGATTCAACCTCAAAGTAGAGGTAGGCAGGCGTGCCTGCTGCTCCCCTTAGCGGTGTATTTCAGTCAATCTGCCTTATATTTCAGTCAAGTTCTGCTCCCCAACTTGGTCTCTGGTGAGTCCTCTCACCCCCTGCACCTCTGGCCTGTACCCCAGTTCTTGTATGCATAAATAAATAAATCTTTAAAAAAAAACACAGAAAAGAAGCTAAAAGAGAAGATGAAATTGTTCAGGGAGAAAGTGTGACTTGAGAAAAGCAGATGACCCAAGATGGGTGTCGGAAGAACACAAATATCAAGAGAGACTGAGAAAGAGGAATCTGCAGGAGGAAAATAAGAAGAATATGGTATCACAGAAACCCAGGGTTTAGTTTTCAAAATAGGAAAATAGTGGCCCATTGAGTATCAGGAGCTGGGAAGAGATTCAGAAACCAAGGGATAGAGAAATACCTACGAGATTTCTTAACAAGAAGGCCATCAACAACCTTGGTCTGATAAAGTGCACTGGAGCAAGGAGGACACAAAGAAAGGGGAAGAAAACAAGAGGAAATAGAATCCTGGACAAATTGAGGGGTGCTTGGACAAGCTGCTACCTTCCTCCCCTCCCCTTCCCTTCTCCCCTATCCCTCTACCCCACCTTCTCGCTTTCTGCTGACAGCCACGCACAGATGGTATGAGAGGTGGAGAGGCAGAACCCTGCCATCTCACCCCATGGGTTGCACATCTCTGGAGCATTGTTCTGAAGTCAAAATGAGAGTGACAAACCTCCAGGTCTGCCATGGCAGTCATGGAAGAGGTTGAAGACATAGAAGGTGGGAAAATCAACAGAATCGCAGGTTCCTAAGAAATTAGGATGACCTGGAATTTAAAATGTGAAGGTTGAAGACCTCCCCGGTGGCGCAGCGGTTGAGCGCTGGGTTGTGAAACTGCCCACAACCTCTGCAGCACCGGTTCGATCCCGGGCTGCTCCCCGGCCACCGGAGGAGGGTCCCACATGGCGCGCAGACCTCTCCTGCCGCCCGCTGCTCCCCTCAGCAGTGTACTTCGGTCCTTCTGCCTGATCTGCTCCCCACTCTGGCTCTGGTGGATTCTCTTACCCTCCCGCGCTTCTGACTGTACCCAGTAGTTGTATAAACAAACAAACAAACAAACAAATAAATAAATGTGAAGGTTGAGACATTGAAGAAGTGGAGATTGAGGAAGAAGTAACTGCTCTGCAATCAGAAGGGGCAGAGAAAGTATAGGTGCAGCTTTGAGTATATTTGCAGGTTTGGGCATATGAACGTATGGGCGCAGTGATCTGATGGACTTCTTTTTCTTTATGGGTGTCTCCTGTGAGGAGGACAAAGTAGGTAAATATTGTTGCAGAAAGAGAAAAATTGGAGCTTTTTGATGGCAAATATATTCAAACTAGTTTATGTAAGAGGCAGAGAAGACTGTGTGTGTGTGTGTGTGTGTGTGTGTGTGTGTAGTTAGATGGTGGATGGCGTTGAATGAGAATTTATTCTGTTGGTGGCAACAATTCATTGAGATCTTTAGTAGCGTGATGAAAATGAGGCTGTCTGAAGAAAATGAACACTGAAATAATTCAGGCTCATAAAACTGTTGCATCGACTGGCCGTGCATACTGCTCTTGTGTACAATTAGACTCTAAATTATATTAATGCAGTTCAAGTTTCAAGATTCGTCATCTCTGTAATCACCTCTAAATGCAGATCACCCAACAGCTCCCTGCTTATCTTCTCCGCTGGAGAATGCCAAACAACTTCCTTTCTTCGTACAGCTTCTCTTTCAGTTTAAATAGTCTCGCAGACTCCCCTCATATACGCTTTCGTGGCTCAAATCTCCTCACTGGATCTACCTGAGCTATGTGTGCATATTGATGATTTGTGTAACTAACATTCATGTCTATTTGTAAGGTTTCATATTTTAAAAACAATATTAGAGGAATTGTTTGACATAATCAAAACAGCCTTTGTGCAACAGGCAGTTGCACAGTGAAGGCAAAGTGATTTTCAGCTGCACTTGAAATTAGGGGATTTCCACAGCTCTTGAGAGGGGAGGGAGTGCATTAAAATAATTCTGAGCATGGAAGCCAAATAGACAGGCACTTGAGTTCAGGTTCTTATTAGCTGTGTGACCTTGGGCATATTAATTAAACTCTAAGATGCTCAATTTCTGTTTCTCTAAATGAAAGTGTTAAGGTTAGAAAAATGCATGTAGGCAAAATCTTTCTGTTCTAGTTAATCTGATCTTCCTTCTTGTACTCAGGAAATACTTCCTAAGCTCTTTTGTATGTACAGGAAGCACACATTCTGTCAGACTGCTTTCCTTCCCTTTTTAAACTTCAACTTAGACCTTGAGAAATTTCCGCATTAACCTTGTCCACTCTTCAACATGTCAGCCTGTGTCCTGCAAATTCTCCTTCTTTCCTTTGTTTTCATTTGTTTCTTTGCACCTATATTTTTATTTCCACATGTTATCTTTGTAGCTGAATCTGCTACGGGGATTCAGATGCATTTGGGGATGTATATGGAAGGATGGGGCTGCAGCAAAGATCTCTTTGATCACAAGAGCTTGGGATGCTTGAGTGCCGATGAAAGGGGGAGAGGAGAGGCCCCGGCTTCCCTTTAGCCACAGTGGTTGTCTCCTCTACAGACATACCAGGTCTGGTGGGGAGAAGAGACTGGGTCCCCTGGTCTCCCCTAGCCAAGCTATGGGCCTCCAAACGGGGTTTCATCCACGTGGTAGAAGGACTGCCTTTTAAAATTCTAGCAAAGGCTTTGCATAGATCAGACTGATTCAGAGGGAATCAAAGTGACTGATTAAGAGGGAGGTTTTCTGACCCAGCAGCTCAGTTGTTGGCTGACATTGGGAAAAAAGTGGAATATAAGTATATATAACACAAAAGATATGCATAAACATGTAAAGATAATGATATTTATATTCCTAACTTTCCTACTCCTGCTAGATACAAATACCCTGAAATATTTTATTTTTTTGATCATTGTATATAAGTCACTGTTTATTTGTTGTTCAGTATTGTAAGTCAAATATACACACATCTATTATGGAATATCAAAGGAATATACTACTATAAAAGCATCAACAATTACATACCAGAACATATTTAGTGATAGATTTAGCACAGATTTATGTACCTGAGCTTTTATTACTTATTAACCCCAGCTTTTATTACTTCTTCCAACCGACACTGCTAAAATTGTTGGAGAGGAATATAAAAGACTTACGTGTGAAGGTAAAAGGAGATAACACAAGGAGACAGAAAATAACAAAGTATTTCAAATTGATTTTGAAAGATGGAAAGCAGATGAAGAACTATAAATTATAATTCTTATACCTTTAAAATGAGAAGAAAAGAGATAGCTTTTGAAATTTCATCTGGCAAAGTGAAGACAATATAATTGCAGTCCAAAATACCAACTGGTTGAAGAAGAAAAACATGTAGAGAATCCTTAGAAAACTGAAAGTGAATATATCATATAATCCAGCAATTCTGCTCCTAGGTATCTCCTCACAGAGCACAAAAACACTAATTTGAAAGGAAACCCACACTCCTGTGTTTCTAGCAGCACTATTTATGATACCCAAGATATGGAAACAACCTAAATGTCAGATGAATAGGTAAAAAATATGGTATATAAATATACAGAATGGGCTAATGCTCAGTCATCAAAAAAGTAAATAAACTAGGGCCTCCCCTGGTGGCGCAGCGATTGAGCGCTGGGCTGCGAAGCTGCCTGCAGCCTCTGCGGCGCTGGTTCAATCCCCAGCCACCGGCAAGGGTCCCACATGGCGCGACAGACCTCTCCTGTCTCGCCTGCTGCTCCCCTCAGCAGTGTATTTTGTCGGTCTGCCTGTTCTGTTCCCCACTCTGGCTCTGGTGAATTCTCTCGCCCTCCCGTGCTTCTGACTGTACCCAGTGCTTGTATAAATAAATAAATAAATCCTTTAATAAATAAATAAATAAATAAATAAATAAACTAACTAATGCCATTTGTGGCAACATGGATGGAACTGGAAGAGATTAATGTGAAGTGAACCAGAAGGAGAACGGAGAGATAAGGGATGATCTCACTTATATGTGGAATCTAGAGAAACCAAACAAGGTCAGACAAAGACAAACTGTAAGAATGAGGACCACTGACGGCAGACCAAGCACGCAGTAGATCTGAGACATCCAGGAGGGGAGGAATGCAATGGTGGAGGATTATGGGTGCTTTGGTGGTAGGAAAACTACAGCGACCACCTGAGGGGAGAAGTCCTATATTGTGAAAATATAAACAAGGATGTTATAAAAAAAAAGGGAAGCATAAAATCTGCAATCCTGTATTCAATAAGTTATCATTCAGTAATGCATGAACATCTACTGTTTAAGAAACACAGAGTAGCAGAGTGAAACCCTTTCACATTTACAATTGAGAACTTTTAAAGAATATTTTTGTAACTGCAAAATGGGTGAATTCTGAAATTTCAAAGTAAAATTCTTTAGCATTAGAATTTAATTAAAAATGTTCTATTGATGAATTCAATTTTATTTTATAGGTAATTCCATTTAAGAACATCTTCCATTAGATTATACCCTTCAAATTAGAGCATACATAGTTTTTTACTGGTAAAAATAAAAACTAGCCTCAATTATTTACAGAATTCCAGTTTTCCTTGGGCAAAAGGAGAGTTCCCTGGGAAAGAATAGCCTAAACTGATATGATGCAGAATTGTTCTATAGGAGAAATTCACCAAGTTTTATATAAACAATAATCCATTCTTTACTCCATCTGGCAGTATGCTATGTGGAAAAATTCCATTGACCTAAACATAAAATAACAAAAACAAAAGATTATTGTGTGCTTCCTGGAGAATGCATATTTGGCAAGGACTTCTATAATTACCCTATCTTACATTTTTAGTAAGTGATTTTTTTCCACTTCATAAGTTCTAGACTATGGTTAGCCCTTGTTTGTTAACCCCTTGCCTAGAATTTTGTTAATTTCAATAGGCTTGATAGTGTAAAAATTCCTATACTTTTTGCTTGTATTTTCTATTGCTTTTTCTTTAAATATTTTGTTTCTCTCACATAAACATTATGCACTAATTTGCCTGTCTTTTGATTTTTCACTATTGTCTTGGTGAGACTAGTGCTTTTACAGTTACAATCTGAATATGTAGAGTATTTGGAATATTTCATTACCTGAAATATCTCCATAGTGATTTTGTCTTCCATGCTTTCTCCTGGTTGTTTTACAGAAAGATTAAATTTGATCTATAGGATCTAATTCTTAGAATGGTTATACAAGCATTAGTTAGGGTTGAGTTAGTTACATATCATGCCACAGTCATAGATTCAAGTTTCTGCCAGCGTATAAGTGAAATTTTTCTCAAAGTAAAATGACAGTAAATAAGTTTACTAAATTGAGTCTCTTCACATGTTTTAATGTTTGTATTATCCTGATAGACAATTGGCAATTTATTTCTGTTCATCTATACTATCAACATTCAAATGTGTTTATCTGATTATATAGCTTGTCATATGAAATCTAGGGAAAAAAACTAGAACAATGTGCATTTTAGTGAGGTTTTGTTTGCCTTAACACACAAAATTCCTGTCCTTTGAAAAAGCAAGTGATTTTGTACAGCTGTGCTTATACATAACATGAAGGTAATTTGGTAAAATTTAGATGAACAAAATTTCATGTAGACCTTACAGAAGTCCACACCTAGAATAAGTATAGTTAATTAGATGCTGGAGCTAATCATATTGAAACAATATCATTTTGAAATATCTGCTTTTATTGTATATCTTAATCTAAACATATGCATAAATGTACACACACAAATCATATGAAATGAAAACCATACTCTACACTAAAACTATAATATTTCCTTTTCTGCCCTAGTGAGGAACTTCATTTTTACTTGGGTGACTAGGTTTTAGTTTATTTTTAAGTACAGAAAGCATAGGCCTGGAAAACACAGGAGTTCTCTAGTTTGTTTATTTTCCTTAGAAGAAACCTGCTAACACTTTAAATATCCAGTAGTCATTTATAGCAAGTCAACATTACTGTATCGTTCAACTATCATACAGAATCTCATACTTACAAATACGTCCTGTAGAGAAGTCCACCACGCTAAATTTTTTCTTCTTTGTATGTTTCTTTTGAAATCAGGCTCTGAAGTTCCATGAGACATCCAGCATTTTATTTTTCCTGGCATAAAAGAAATTTACTGTTCCTATAATTTCCTTCGATAGCAGTCTGGCCTCTGTATGAATGTTCTGTTTTGCACACGTATCTATGCAAAGAGAGGTTTTGCTGAATATGGAAAGTAGTACGATGTGACTCCAAAGCATTGCTGATAAAGAGGCTTTATCTGACATTTTAGCCCATCTGAAATGATCAGATGATTGGAAGTAGTAACACCATAAAATCTTCAAAGTAATATTAAACGTTTTTTCTAAAATAATTGATTTCTTTCTAATTTTAGAAAATGTATAACTCAAAGAAAACTCCCCTTTTAAAAAAGTCAAAGAACTGAATGCCAATAAGTAGACCTCCCCTGCAAACTCTTGTAATCAAATTATTGAGAAGTATTAAAATTAATATTTTTGGCATAGTCAAATTACAAAGGACTTAACAACTGATGAATCTACCACAGTCGCTTTTCTAGTTCAACCTTTCTATTTCCTTCCACTGGTCCACATAGGGCAGTTTCTGGACTCTCCATCATTTTCCAGTTTGTTTAGATACCTGTTAAAATCTGAACTAAACACAGTGTTCTAGGTTAGGACAAATGAATGCAGGGTATGGTGAGATTGTTAATGAACATGTCCTATGTCTAACCTAACTGTGCATGTGTGTGTTTGAATGTGCATGTGTGTGCACATTATTAGAGAATTAGAGAATTAGAATTAGAGAATTAGAGTGGGGGTGTGCATCAGAAATGCTAGAATGAAACAACAGGAAAGACCACCAGAATGTGGTTGATGGAATGTTTCTGAAACTAGTTAGGTGCCTAATGAGGTAGACGATGATCTTTACTTACATATATATATATATTTTTTAATATTTATTTATTTATACAAGCACTGGGTACAGTCAGAAGCGCGGGAGGGTGAGAGAATTCACCAGAGCCAGAGTGGGGAGCAGAACAGGCAGACTGACGAAGTACACTGCTGAGGGGAGCAGCGGGCGGCAGGAGAGGTCTGCGCACCATGTGGGACCCTCCCCCGGTGGCCGGGAGCAGCCGGGGATCTAACCGGCGCTGCAGAGTCTGCGGGCAGCTTCACAACCCAGCACTCAACCGCTGCTCCACCGGGGAGGCCCTACTTATATATTTTTTAATTTGAGTTTCAAGTTAAGAGAAATTGATTCTATTCAGTCTTTGGGGAAAATTTGGGGACTAGAAAAGGCAGTCAAACTTCATAAAAGTCAGAAGGTGGGCAGATACAGCAGTGATGCAAGAAGTGAGATTTAGGTTAGTTGGAAGATTCCAGATTGTTTGCTGGTAGCAATCATTTTCACTGGCGTCTAGCTGCCAATTCTTTCCCTGCCTCTGGACATTTGGGAGTCTCTCAAAGTATTGTGTCTGGGATTCAGGAATATTTTCTCTTCCTCATGGTTTGAGTTGAAGGAGAGGGCAGGAAGATTCTGAAAGTAATGCCCTGTAACAGTCAAGTTTCAAAGCCAGCTTAACAGAATAAGACATGATCGTCTTCCTATGGAGTGAGAATTGGGTATCAACAGGGACTGAGAGACAAAAAAGCCACTGATTTAGAGTAGCAGGATCGGAGGTAGAAGATGATCCAGAAGAATTCCAGGACAAGGCGTAGATGTTTGTGGCAGATGTCTTAGCATTTTTAATTTCCCTAGAAAGGGTAGTCAGGAGCAGTAAAGGAGTTAGAGCAATGAAATCCTTGACAGATTGGTGGCTCAGATGCCTTCAGAGTTGTCAGGTCAGGTAACTGGGTCACTGTCTCTTGCTGGTGTAGCCTAGGAATGCCCTGTCCTTTGTAAGGCTATTTCTTTCTCACTAACTGTGATCTACTCTTGAGAATGTTGACTGTTTCTATTTCAGCTAAACTCAGTCCAAAATAACACAAGTTCAATGTGTACAGTAAAGAATATTTCAAATTTTTGTACAGTTAAAATTCAAAATGCACATCTTCATGTGAACAGACTAACAAAATGTTAGACTTTGGTAAGTTTTGGTGGTGGTTTAAGAAATAAGCCTACTATTTACAATGCATCTTATTTCTATTATATAGCTGATGCCATTTGTTTACAGGGTGGCATTTGTAACATATTGTAGCAACAAAACAAATCCTTGGTGAGTTCTTCAGCAAACTGTATCTAGTAGGCAACATTTGCCAAAGTTTTCATTCCCAAAAAAGGAGAGATTTTCTGAAATGCCCATAAATAAAATCATCTACTTGGAGACTCTAGGGAATGGTTACTCCATCTACTGCTATGGCAAGCTTTCTTTTTAGATAGAAAAAGAAATAATTTTATTTTCAACCTGCCTGTAGCATTTTATCTCTTTTTGAACCAGATTTTAGAATCATATTTGGCAGCTATTTCATGCTATGTGCATCTGATCCTGGAATAAACTATTTTAGAATGTTTCCATTTTCTTTAGCTAAACTGAAAATGAAGCAGTTAGATAATAAACTATAAAAACATTTATTGTGGTGCTTAGCATTTAACAGTGCTAGTTCCTGCTTAGTATCTAAAAAGACAAATCAAAAAGAAGGATGTATTGGAATAAACTACTATCAGAGACAAGATTTGATGATGTGAACCTGCCAGATACTGCCTCCTCACTCTAACAAAGCTTTTAATTTTTTTAAGTTTTAATTGAATTATGTTTATGGAGGGAATATTGATTTAAACTAGTTCTTTTTTTTTTTAAGATTTATTTACTTCTTTTATACAAACACTGGGTACAGTCAGAAGCGCGGGAGGGTGAGAGAATTCACCAGAGCCAGAGCGGGGAGCAGAATAGGCAGACTGACGAAGTATACTGCTGAGGTGAGCAGTGGGCGGCAGGAGAGATCTGCGCGCCATGTGGGACCCTCGCTTGGCAGCCGGGGATGGAACCGGTGCTGCAGAGGCTGTGGGCAACTTCACAACCCAGCGCTCATCTGCTGCGCCACCAGGGAGGCCCTAAACTAGTTCTTTAAAAAATAATTTATTGGGCCTCCCCTGGTGGCTCAGGCAGTTGAGCGCAGCGCGGTGAAGCTGTCCGCAGCCTCTGCAGCGTGGGTCCAATACCAGCTGGCCCGTGAGAATCCCACAAGGCAAAGCAGACCTCTCTTATCTCGCCCACTGCTCCCCTCAGCAGTGTATTTTGTCAGTCTGCCTGTTCTGTTTCCCCTCTGTCTCTGGTGAATCCTCTCACCCTCCCATGCATCTGGCCTTTACCCCAGTTCTTGTATAAATAAAATAAAATAAAATTTATTTTGGGGGCCTCCCTGGGTGGCATAGGGGTTAAGTCTCAGCACAATCACCTCTGTGGCCTGAGTTTGATCCCTGGCCAGGGAGCAACCCATATGGTACAGCAGACCTCTCCTGTCTTGCCTACTGCTCCCCTCAGGAGTGTATTTCAGCCAATCTGCCTGTTCTGCTCCCTGCTCTGTCTCTGGTGAATCTTCTCACCACACCCCTCCCCCAAACACCTCTGGCCTATACCCCAGTTCTTCTATGCAAAAAAAAAAAAAAATTATTTTAGCTCTACATTCCTAAAGGTCTTAAAAATATTTTATTCAAGGTGGAATGTTTGAAAAGATTGAGAGCTTTTTCTAAATAGTTAAGAGTTGAGTACATTATCATTTGTAAACAGTACCTTGGAAATCACCTATATTACTCATTTCTTCACCAAAATCTCCATTAAATCACCAAATAGAGAGATAGAGTCCTTCTGGGTAAACAGATGTTCAGAGTCTGTGTTCTGTGGGTGTATAGTTGCCTTTCCCAGGCCTTGAGACACTTAGTTTGTATGTGGATTTCCCCATGTGTCAACTGTACCTTCGTGTCAAGATTCTGGCCTCTGCTCCTGGTTTCCTTCTACTCTGTCCTCTCAGCCTACATATCCCTCCTGTGTAGCAACTTTTCAGAGCAACCTCCATCTGACCTCATAGACTCAACATCCATGTGTGGCCAAACAGTCTGAGCTAGTGAGACTCGATTTATCTCCTGGCCTAATCTGCTCTGGTTTGAGGCTGATTAGAATCGATCTGAGTTCTGCCCTGTGTGAACCAGTATCAGTGACAACAGAAATTTGAAACAGATTATTGAGTGTCTGACTCTGTTGCCAGGACAAAACATACATAGATAATAATTAAAACTAGCTACTAATTTTGCCTGCTTTTATTCAAATGACTTACTCTACAGATGTCTGTTGCAATCACGGCTCTATCAGTCTGTGAAGTTCAGCGGGGCTGCTTGACTCCATTTTCTTCCCAGGTAATCCGTCATTGTCTCAGTTTTCTGATTTGTAGCTTGTAACTGACAAGACGAGTGGTTTTCCTTCATTTCTCCTGAGTATTGTGCTCTCATTCTTTCCATACCTGCAGATCCCAGGGAATCAATTAGCCTCTTAGGATTTCTCTCAGTGTTCCAGGCAAAATTAATATAGCAAGGAAAGCATGCTGTGTTCCTTTCCTGGAGGTGGGAGGAGAGCCCACAGTTGTTTACTTTATGATTGCGTGGCGTCTAATAGCCTTGTTGTGCATTCAGGTTGTTTATCTGTGGAGACCTCTGGGAACTGGCTTAGGGGTACATCCATTTGAAGAAATGTTGCATTGTCTCCATAAGGCAGTCCAGACACTTTTAATCTAGGATGCTTTGTCATTTTTTTGACTTGTCCTGGACCACACAGGTAAGGTACATTTAAATTATAAACCCAGGGCCTCCTCGGTGGCGCAGCGGTTGAGCGCTGGGTTGCGAAGCTGCCCGCAGCCTCTGCAGCGCCGGTTCGATCCCCGGCTGCTCCCCAGCCACCGGAGGAGGGTCCCACATGGCGCGCAGACCTCTCCTGCCGCCCGCTGCTCCCCTCAGCAGTGTACTTCGGTCCTTCTACCTGCTCTGCTCCCCTCTCTGGCTCTGGTGAATTCTCTCACCCTC